CCCTATATATAAAAATCTTTATATTCCCATTCATACTACATCCGGCTCACACATTTTTGTCTCAGCTCAGGAAGGGATGGGCTGCAGATCAAACTAATTTATGCAGCAGCCAATTCGCATGCTCACAGCTTTAATGCCAGGAGCTCACAAAGTAGGATTTTTGCTCACAAGACTCCACATCTTAGAGGGAGCCTTGGTACCATCTCACCTGTTGGTTCCATAGAACAGAATCATAGAATCACAGAGTTGAAAGGAGCCATACAGGGCATGTCCAATGAAACCAGGATTTAATTAGACCGACTAGAGCTTCTAATGAATCCCATCACTCGCATCCTGGTTTGCTTCAGCAAGTGTTGCTTCCATTGCATTTGCTCTGACCAGACATCTCTGTGGCCAGGGAGTACACGAGAGTGCCACCAGAAGTAAGGATGTCCACATTCAAACATCACGTGAAACCATAATTAAGGCTTCCCCCTCCCTGCCGTCAAGTTATAGCTGTCTTATGGCGACCCCGTAGAGAAGTGATGGCGAACCTTTTAGAGACCGAGAGCCCAAACTGCGACCCAAAACCCACTTATTCATTGCAAAGTGCCAACACGGCAATTTAACCTGAATACTGAGGTTTAACTTTAGAAAAAACAACTCATACATTAACTTAAGACGATCCAAACAAAGTAAGGAAAGCAATCCCAAATGCTGTCGTTTACTTAAAATTATTTGGCAGAGAATTCAACACTTTAATGATGGCCTGGGTCTGGCTGGGGCAATGGCAAGTGTGCCCACAGAGAGGGCTCTGAGTGCCACCTCTGGCACCCGTGCCATAGGTTCGCCACCACTGCCGTAGGGTTTTCAAGGCACGAGACCAACAGAGGTGGTTTGCCATTGCCTGCCTCTAAGTAGCAGCCCTGGACTTCATGGGTGGTCTCCCATCCAAGGACTAACCAGGGCCTGCTTAGCTTCCCAGATCTGTCAAGATTGGCCATCCAGGTCAATTAAGATTAACTGCTGTTAATAAGCCAGCTTCAGACTTTGGTTTCAGATCCTGCTTTGACAGTTCTTCTCTAACTAGAGTGGACTGGCCCTCCATTCGGATGAGCGGCCATAGTCAGTTTAACTAAACCCTGGTTTCATTTGACATCGGAACCAATGCTCCCTCTAAGCGGTGGAGCCTTGTGAGCAAACATTCCACTCTGTGAGCTACCGGCATTAAAGTGGTGAGTGAGCGATTTGGCTGTTGCATCAATTAGTTTGCTCTGGAGCCCCATCCTCCCTGAGCGAAGACAAAAATGTGGGAGCTAGAGGGTAAAAAACTGTGAGCTGGCTCACACTAACTCAGCTTAGAGGGAACATTGATTGGAACCATGCACATTTGTGAAAATGATGTGTGCTTCTGGAGGACCCAGCAAGAGTCCCAGCAAAAAGAGATGATGTCAGAGACCCCTGTGAGATTTTGAGATCTGACTTATTCCTGAAACATTAGCTTGTGACAGTATGTGTTGGCTGGAGTTTGTGCGCTTGGCAGCAGAAGTGTCTCCGTTGTCTAATGTGATTTACAACAAAGAATCCACACTAGATGTGTGATTGTGGTTAACCTGACAAACATTTCTCCAGAGAGTTCTTTGGACTCTGCACGGACTGTGTCAAAAGGGCATTTAAGTACACAGTCCAGGTGGAAATTAACATGTACACAGGAAGCTGCCTTACACTGAATCGGACCATCGTTCCATCAGTCAGTATTGTCTTCTCAGACTGGCAGTGGCTCTCCAAGATCTCAGGTAGAGAAGGGTCTCTCATATCACCTATGAGCTGGTCCTGTGCAATGGAGATGCCAGAGACTGAGTCTGGAACCTTCTGCATGCCAAGCAGATGCTCTACCACTGAGCCTCGGCCCCTCCTCAAGATGTAGTGGA